TATATCCATCCATCCACATACAAATAGACCTAGGCTACAGTTAATTTTTTCCTGACAGTAACTTGAAAAAGATAAACTATAAGGAAAGGATAGAAAAGTTACTTCAGCTAATAGCTCCTTCATAATGTGTAAATGTATCTCTACAGTCTGTAATGAATTCCTAACACAAGAGATGGGTGTGGTAGTATATACCTGTAATCCCAGCATTCAAGAGGCTGAGGCAGGAGGACCAAGAGGGGCCAGCTTGGACAACATAGTAAGACTTTGTCTCAAATGTAGTAAAGAGATCTTAACCCAGCTATTTGGACATACCTTAGAAAGGTTAAGAAGTTAACCATGTGTCTTCATAAATTCTTATATTTTGCTTGTCTAGCTTTATATGACCATATTACTCTTCTGATAAAGGCAATCCTAACAAATTCTTCTAAATGCTAACATGCTGTTCTAAATCATGATTTCATAATAATAATGTTTCTTAATTCAAATTTGGGTAACAGAAATTTTTCTTTTCATAGTTTCTTCCCTGAAAAACTGTAAGAAACGTACTATTTAAAGGTCATTTGAAAAACTTTTAATAGATCCATATAGAGTATATTATAATAATGCTCTTATCTAGTTAAGACAACAGACACCTAGCTAATCAAGCTTAGTAGTTAAGAGCAACTATCAGGTTAATCACATAGTTTGGAGATGAGCCTTGGAGAGAGTGGTAAGAACTGTCTCTAGACACAAGCAATTTCAATGTATAACGTACTTTTGTCTATTTCTTACCACCAGAACTTAATCCATGGGAGAGATTTTTTTTTTTTTTTTTTTTTTTGGTCTTTTTTGAAACAGGGCATTCCTCTGGCCCCAGCTGGCCTTGAACTCAGAGATCCACCTGCCTCTGCTTCCTAAGTGCTAGAATTAAAAGGTGTGTGCAGTCACACTTGGCTGGGACAGAATTTTTAAAAAAAAAATGCATTTTATCTACTGCCGTAGTTCCAATGGCTAATACCAGGCCTGATATATAAAGAGGGCTCCAGTTCCCTGAGTGAACTGTGGCTACCAACATGGTAACATGAGTTCAGTATTTATTAAAATACAAAACAAAACTCCACAATTTTTACATCATATTAAAAGGATTTAGGTTAGCCACCTTTGAAGTCCCCCCAAAATTATCTGCTAGTAGCTCTGAGGACCTAGAAAACGTTGAGACATAAATTAACGTATGAAGAAACTTTGATGGACTCACAAGTCTACAGATATATTAATGAAAATTTTATTTAATTTCTGTATATTGCACTGCTTTATCACTGTATTTTCTATTTAGCACCAAACTCAATCCTTGACCTACATGCTCATTGTGTACAAACTAAATGAAGAGTAAGGAAGCAAATGATCTTTATTGAAGAAGTGGTAAAATACTTAGATCACTGACCAACACTTCCCCTTTCTTTCAAATTAGAATACTCTATTTCTCAAGGGATTTTTATTGTTTGCTTGTTTTTCCTCTCCCTCCTATAAGGTGGTCTTCTTCAGTGAAGCATTCCCAAATTCAGACACTTCTTTCTTCTTCTTTTTAAAATCAATATCATGTAACTCATAGTGCTAGTATTGGTGTGTGCAATGCCTGACATAAACACTTTTCTCATTGAACTCAACATGTATTAAAATTTTAAGTCTGTACTACCTTCTTTCCCCTCACTCTACCCCAGTCAGAGTGACAAAGGGGAGTCAGCTCCACTGGTGTCAACTGCATACAGGAAACATGAAAACTGAAGCTTCAATCAAGTTTCTACATTCCAAAAAGTAAAGGAAAACAGAGGATTGGGGATAAGGGG